GCTACAGGAAGAGGCTGAAGGGATAAGCAAAGCTGAGAACTAGAGAGTACAATTAAGTCCAAGGTCTAGTGGGCTTCACATGTATGTGAGATATATATATATATATATATAAAGTTTATATATATATATATATATATATATTATAAAGTTTATATATATATTATATATATATATTATATATATAATATATATATATATATATTAAGTTTTTATTGAAACCTAGTTTGATTTAGGGTTTTATCACTTGTCATAACAAAAGTCCTAACTTATGCAGAACTTATCACAATTTTTAATAGCTTTATTAAGATATAATTCAAGTACCAGGTAATTCACCCCTTTATACCATTTGAATTATATATTTTTGTATAACTATTTGTTTAAAATTTATTTCCTCATTAGTTCCAGGACAATAAGGATTATAGCTGTTTTCTTCACTGTTATATCTCAAGTGCCAAAACAGAATTTGCCTGGTTCAGAGTACATGGTCAAAAAATATTTTCAAATGAATAACTGAGTAAATGTATGAATAAATGAAAATCTACCCTAGTCTGGGTGCTTGGGAATAATGAAACAAATTAGACATAACTTTGCTGCTCTCGAGGTCAAGTAAGCAAGTTCTGGCTAAGCAATAGAGGAATGCTCAGGAAGTTGAGTAGGACAGAGATTGGTTACCTTGGCCTGCCCAAATCTGACCACTTCATTAAGGCCTTCTTCAAGTGCCTCCCTAAACCCTTTATTAAGAATCTCACTTCCATCTATGTTTCTACGTAAGTTTGATAGAGCTATACTGACTCCACTACTTCCTAACTATGTAATCTTGAGCAAATTACTTAATCTATGAACGTCATTTATCAGAGTATTGGGCATGTCCTATAGTACCTACCTTGAAGGGTTATATTGAGAATTAAATGAAATAATGCAAAGTTCTTCATATAATGCTTGGCTCAATATATATCACTCATTATTACCATATTTGCCCTATAGTGTGGTTAAGTGGTTAGGCTCTGGAGCCAGACTGCTGCTTGAGTTCAAATTCTGACTCTACCTATTACTAACTGTGTGACCTTAAGCAAGTTACCCAACTCTTTGTTCCTCAGTTTTCTCATCTGTTAAAAAAATAACTTGGAGATAAGAAAAGTACATGTCTCAGAGGATTTTAGGAGAATTGAATTAAATGAGTAATACCTTAAAACATTTAGAATAGTGCCTGGCACATGGTAAACATCTAATACTTAACCAGCTTACTTTTAAAAAATCTTAGTCGCTGGAACCGGTTTGGCTCAGTGGATAGAGCGTCGGCTTGCGGACTGAAGGGTCCCGGGTTCGGTTCCGGTCAAGGGCATGTACCTGGGTTGCGGGCACGTCCCCAGTGGGGGATGTGCAGGAGGCAGCTGATCAATGTTTCTCTCTCATCGATGTTTCTAGCTCTCTATCTCTCTCCCTTCCTCTCTGTAAAAAATCAATAAAATATATTTTAAAAAAAAAATCTTAGTCATAAAGACTTGGCATGCTGGCTATCTTTTTTCCTAATATAAAACTAATTCACCTTTTAAAAACGTAGTCTTGTTTAACTCTATGGGCTTGACATGCTGATTATATATTTTTTCTAATGCACACCAAAATATATACACAAAATCATTTTGCACACCACGTCCAGTGTCTTGGGTGTCTCTCTTTGGGAAACACTGCTCTAGACTCGCATGTTCCCATGATTTCTGGTTCCCTGAACACAATGTGCTATTCCTTGCCTTTGCCAGTGTTATTCTCCCTGCTTAGAATGTCTTGCCTCGCTTTCTCCCTTGGCTGCTCCTACTTGTCTTTATGACTCAGCTTAGGCATCGTGTTCTCTGACCCCAACTGAATTAGGTGCCTCCTCTGTGCTCCCACAATCCCCAGCATATCCCGAGTCTATCACAACAGTGATCACTTGGGGTATCACTGTTTCTATCCTTCACAGACCAGGGAATGTCTCCTATTTCACTGCACAGTACCTGGCATAGAGCAGGTACTCAGAAGTCTTAATTGGATTGAAGTAAAATGAGTAGCCAAATACATAACATAATACACATTTAATTGAAACATATTTGTGCAGTATCTTCTCAGTGCAAGGCCACATACTAGGCGCTGTGGGTACAAAGATAAATAAGATTAATTTCCTGGCCTCATGGAGCCTTTGGGAGATAGACAAGAAAACAAGGGCACCCACGTGCCATGGGCACTGTGACTGCTGCCTGTATGGGGTACATTAAGTGGGGACCCAAAGAAAAGAGCTCTGGGCAGCCAGGAAAGGCTTCACAGAAGATGTGCAGCTTGAGTTGTTTTGAAAACTGTGTGTATGTGTGTGGGGGAGGGGGTGTTTCACTGGATGAATGAGGGTGGGGAATGGGACACAGAAGAGAGCATTCCAGACAGATGGTGTTTAGAGGGTCCAGGGAGGGTGCTGGGGTTTCCCTGGGGACAGCAGGTTGAAGACATAAAGAGAGAGCCTGAGGTCACCTAGGTGTGGGTGGCAGAACATGCTTTCTGTTCTGTGAACCACAGATGGAGGAGGTACTTTCTGAATCCTGAGAAACTCTGTGATGGTATAAGAAGAGTACGACCCAAGATAATTCAATCTTCCTTTTTATTACTTAACTAGAGGCCCAGTGCATAAAATTCATGCACAGGGAGAGTCCCTCAGCCCGGCTTGCACTCTCTCCAATCCGGGACCCCTTGGGGGGATGTCCGACTGCTGGTTTAGGCCCGATCCTAAATTGGCAGTTGGGCATCCCTCTCGCAATCCAGGACCGCTGGCTCCTAACTGCTCACCTGCCTACCAGCCTGATCCCCCTAACTGCTCTCCCCTGCCAGCCTGATCCCCCTAACTGTTCTCCCCTGTCAACCTGATCCTCCTAACTGCTCTCCCCTGCCGACCTGATCCTCCTAACTGATCTCCCTGCCAACCTGATCCCCCTAACTGCTCTCCCCTGCTGACCTTATCCTCCTAACTGATCTCCCTGCTAGCCTGATCCCCCTAACCACCTCTGCCTCTGCTCCGCCTCCATGGCTTAGTCCTGAAGGATGTCCAGAAGATCGTCCAGAAGATGTCTAGTCTAATTAGCATATTACCCTTTTAGTAGTATAGATGTATTTACTTTTTAATCCTTACCCAAAGATATTTTTTCCATTGATTTTTAGAGAGAGTGGAAGGGAGAGGGATAGACAGAGAGAAACACTGATATGAGAGACACATCAATTGGTTGCCTCCCATATGCCCCCCACCAGGCCGGGAGCCTGCAGGGAGCCTGCAACAGAGATATGTGCCCTTGACCGGAATCGAACCTGGGACCCTTCAGTCTACAGGCCAACGCTCTATCCACTGAGCCAAACCAGCGAGGGTCCTTTTTGTTATTTACCTACAGTTTGCTAGTTTCTATTTCAGAACACCCTGGGGAATAGGGGAAGGGAGAAAGAAGCATAGGACTCCTCCCCCAACACACACATACTCATAATACATGTAATATAAATATGTGCAACACACAACACACATAATACAAATATATACAACACACTTGGACATTATACTGTACAGTTTACCTATCTACCAGCCCATATATCAGTACTTCAGAAATTGCCAGAGAGTGTAACTTTAACTCTCCTACTGCTGAAAACTTACGACACCTAAGTTGTGAGAACTGTTTAGACTAGCTAAAAGCTAAGCAATAGAGGAAGATTTCTCTAAGGCAGTGGTTCTCAACCTTCCTAATGCCGCAACCCTTTAATACAGTTCCTCATGTTGTGGTGACCCCCAACCATAAAATTATTTTCGTTGCTACTTCATAACTGTAATTTTGCTACTGTTATGAATCGTGATGTAATTATATATGTGTTTTCTGATGGTCTTAGGCGACCCCTGTGAAAGGTCGTTCGACCCCCAAAGGGGTCGCGACCCACAGGTTGAGAACCGCTGCTCTAAGGCGATCTTACATTAAAGCCCAATACAGAAAAGAAAAGAAAAAGTTGCTATTTTAAGCAAGTATTGGCAGGGGTCCTCCTGTAGGGCCACTGAGACACACCTAAGGCACCTGGGTCTCAAGGGAGCACAAGAATCAAGATACTTTAACCTTGGAAAAAGCCAGAGCATTACTGAGCTGCATACTTAAAGCCACACTGTTTCCTCCCTTCAAACAGTGACTTTTGTTGTGAAACGTGTTTTGGTGAGGAAGGATCCGCTTACATTGGGAGAAAGCGTAAGACACAACCTGTGATGTTCAGTGCTATAGTTACTGTAGAGTTGTTTGATATGAAGGACATTATCACAAGCCGCATGGAGAGTCTGCTCTACAGCTGCCAATGAAGAGCAGTGCTTCTCTGGAATAATAGGCTTGTTTTTAATTTAAGAACCATCTCTGAACCATGTAACAGATTATGTTTCCCTCTTTGCAATGGTTGCTAGGAAGCTCGAAGCCAATATTTTGGCCCAACTCTTGTTTATCCCCAAGAATTTACAATATACATGCTTATCTCACTGCAGGCTTCCTCTTATTTACCTCCTACCCTTGCTTTTCCTTTGCTCCAATGTTCTCACTTTTTTAAGTTTTACTTATATATTCAACGTAACAAAATATATGCATATAATCATAAATTTCCTAACACAAAGCTATATGTTCATCACATACATATAAAACAATACATAGAGCACATCTATAATAATAAAAACATAATATGCTAATTAGACCGGACGTCCTACTGGATGTCCTTCCAGACAAAGCCGCAGCGGGCGGGGGCCGTGGCAGAGGTGGCAGAGGCCCCGGGCCGTGGTGGCAGCAGGCAGGGGCTGCAGTGGCAGTGGCAGGCCAGGGCTGGGGCCAAGGCCCTTGCACAAATTTCGTGCATCAGACCTCTAGCATGTACGTATTTCACAATCTCCCCAATGTCACATTTCCATGCACGCGCACACACACACACACACACACACACACACACACACAAACATAAACACACATGTGTTGTATACATACCAAGTTGCTCTGCGAGGAGCCGGCCCTTTTCAGCAGGAACAACCCTTTCTTCCTCCATGTCACACTTGTTTCCCACCAGGATAACCTGTGCATTGTCCCAGGAGTAGGTCTTGATCTGAGTAGCCCTAAAGAGCAACAGATAGAGGACCATGTTAATGATATACACACCCCAGGCTGAAAAGGGCTCTGTGAAGCTTGAAGAAACCGATTCCCTTCCATGGGAATAGCAACACCCAAGTTACTATTAATTAATTCAGCTGAGGACAGAGACATACCTGCCCCAACTAGCTGTCACAGATGCTGATCCCTGAGCCCTGGTTGCAAACTTTACCTAGCTCTTTGGAGCCCTCTTCTAATGCATTTGCCCGCCCCTCTTCTCAGCAGGCAGAGAGCTCTTTCTAAACCATCTATCTGACCATATCCTTTCTTAAAAGCTTTCTCTCCCCCACTACCCATGCAATGAAGTCTAGATCCCTCCGTCAGGCGTTAAAGACCATTCACCTCCCATCTCTCCAGCCTCATCACTCTTCCTCCCACTTTACAAACCTTCTCACCCATTCCGCCCCCCAAATGCTTTTCCATGGCTTGTGCCTTTGCCTGTCCTGGGAATCCCTTCCCCACACTAACTTGTCTCAAAGGCTCAAGGTTCCCTGTTGGGAGCCTTCCCCAGGCCCAGCTAGCCTCTCCCTCCTCCTCTGATTCATAAACCTTAGATCATAATTATTTGTAGAAACCAAAATGTCATTAGTGCTTTCTTTTATGTACAATGATTATGAAACTTTTTAAAAATAGTTTTATGTACTTTTCAAATTTTGAAAGTATGTTTTACTTCTATAACTAGAAACAACATTTTGAAAGAGGGGATAAAATAGGACCCTTATATTGTGGAGACATCTTTTTGTGGGGACGGGCCTAACTCTGTCCCCAACCAACCAACCAACCAACCAGGTAGAAATGATTACTTCTCCTTTCGTTCCCCTTCACATTCACTGTGGCTACTGTTACATTTGCCTGAATGTATCTGTCCTTCCTTTGAGGGCAGGGATAGGCTTATTCATCTTTGGGGTGCCCGTCCCCTGCAAAGAGCACAGACCAAGAGAAGTTGACAGTGAATGTCTGATGAATGAGTAAGTCAGAAAATGGTTAATCCTGAAGCAGATCTAAAATTATGACCCTACCCTGACACGGACCCTAAATCTAACTCAGTCCTAACTACAAACTAGATCCGTCACTGACCCTGCTGCTCCCAAAGCTGATCCCACCACCAAACTTTCCTTCCAGGGTGAGCAGTCTTTCCCACAAAGGATGGAATTCACTCAGCCATCACCTGTTGTGGGCCAACAAAGAGCCAGCACTGCTGCTCTGTGCCCAGCCTGCTCAGCTTCTCTGATTCTGAAGAAGAGCCACAGCACAGATGTCCCACCTTCCCCCATCCTCATCCTTCCCACGGACAGGGGCATCGGGTCCTGGCCCCTCCCTCCAACCTGTCTTTACCCCCATGCACCCTTCTCCCTGTGAAGTTATGCTCCAGGAAGAACGATGTAAGTTGCTCAGAGGTTGTACCACTGGGGAGCTGGGCTGATTTCCATTGTGAGCTGAGTCTTTATCAACTTGGATTGAATTGGATGTGCTCTTGGACCCCTAGCCCAGCTCAGGGATTAACTTGATAGGGAAGCAGTATGTGGATTCACTCACTACTGTGCCCACAATGCTCTTTCTAAAACATTCATCTGAACCTTTGGTTCCAAACTTGTTACCCCAGCATGCAAAATCCTTCATGACCTCTGCTCTTTCTGTCCTCGCACTTACCTTCCGCCTTTGCACATCTGTATTTTTTTTTTCTAGAACATTCTTATCCATTCACCCTTCTGGCTAACTTCTGTTCATCTTACAACATGCAGCATATGTCAGCAACTCTAGGACACTTTCCCTGACTCCCCAGGCTGGGTCAGAGCCCTCCACTGGGTTCCCACAGCCCCAGCGACTCTCTTCAACCTGTCACATGTTATTTTCATTGCCTGTTTACTGATTTCATCTGTGAATTCCTTTAGGACAGGAGCCAATCTAATTCACCCAGATTTCTCTAGCCCATAACACAAGGCCTAAACCACACTTTAGGTTTTCTTAAACAGGTTGATGAATGAATGAATGAATCTCATACCAATCTTGCACAGCATTGAAAGACTCCTCATTGGTGATATCATACATCAGAATGAAGCCCATGGCCCCACGGTAATAGGCTGTGGTAATGGTCCGGTACCGCTCCTGCCCCGCTGTGTCCTAGGTGGGAAAAGAAAGAGTCAGCCTCCTAGAAAGTTTGCTTTTGTTCCTAAAAAGTCCCCAGAACAATTAACTAATAAGAGCACCTATTATGTGTCTTGTATTATATTTGCTGATTAGAATAAAATGATATTTAAATCCTCGTAGAAATTAATAAGAATATAATTAAAATCCCAACAGAAAAATGGGCAAGGGGAATGAACAATTCATAGAAGAAATGTAAATTAATATTTATTGTACAAGGTTTTAACCAACCTGGCCAGTGTTGCTAACTGGTTAGAATGTCAGCTTGCACACAGGCGGGTCATGAGTTCATTTCCTGGTCAAGGGCATATACCAGGGTTGCAGTTTGCTCCCCACCCTCGAGTCAGGGTACATGTGGGGGACAATTAGTTGATGTGTCCTTTTCACATCGCTGTCTCTCTCTCTCTCTCCTTCCCTCCCTTTCACTCTCTTGCCTTCTACTCTATGAAAAGCAATGGAAGAAATATCCTCAGGTGAGGATTTTTTAAAAAGGTTTTAGCCATAGGCAGCAAAATACTAGACATATGTCATAGGAAAATCTTTACCGATACAGCTCCTAGGACAATGGAAACTAAGGAGAAAATAAACAAATGGGACTACATCAAAATAAAAAGCTTCTGCACAGCAAAAGAGACCATCAACAAAACAACAAGAAAGCCCAATGCGTGGGAGAACATATTTGCTAATGTTATCTCTGATAAGGGCCTAATCTCCAACATTTACAGGGAACTCATACAACTTAATAAAAGGAAGATAAACAATCCAATCAAAAAATGGGCAAAAGACCTAAATAGATACTTTTCAAAAGAGGACATTCAGAAAGCCAAGAGACATATGAAAACATGCTCAAAGTCACTAATCATCCAAGAGATGAAAATCAAAACGACAATGCGGTACCATCTCACACCTGTCAGACTGGCTATCATCAACAAATCAACAAACGACAAGTGCTGGAGAGGATGCGGAGAAAAAGGAACACTAGTGCACTGCTGGTGGGAATGCAGACTGGTGCAGCCACTATGGAAGACAGTATGGAGTTTCCTCAAAAAGTTAAAAATTGAACTGCCATTTGACCCCGTGATCCCACTTCTAGGAATATATCCCAAGAAATCAGAAACACCAATCAGAAAGGATATATGCACCCCTATGTTCATAGCAGCACAATTTATAATAGCTAAGATTTGGAAACAGCCTAAGTGCCCATCAGCAGATGAGTGGATTAGAAAACTATGGTACATCTACACAATGGAATACTACACTGCTGTAAAAGAAGGAACTCTTACCATTTGCAACAGCATGAATGGACCTAGAGAGCATTATGCTAAGAGAAATAAGCCAGTCAGAGAAAGGTAAATATCACACGATCTCACTCATTTGTGGATTATAATGAACAACATAAACTGATGAACAAAAACAGATATAGAGACAAAGAAGCATCGATCAGATGCTCAAACCGCATATAAGCATAAGTGATGTACGCAGACAATAGGGGGTGAGGTTGAGGGGAAGACTAGGGGGATGAGGGGACAATGGGGGGGATAAAGACACATTTGTAATACCGTAATCAATAAAAAAAATTTTTAAAAAAGATGTACAAAAGGGGCAAACCTCAAAAAAAAAATAGAGCCAGAAGCATTGAACAGACCATCCAACCTAAGAGGGAAGGAAGGGTTGTTGGGCGGGCAAGAAATCAACAAAAGGACTTGTATGCATGCATATGAGCATAACCAATGGACTAGGGGGGTGAGGGCTTGTGCTGGGGGTGGGAGCGGTCAGGGAGAGGTCAATGCGGGGAAAAGAAGGCTTATGTAATTTTTTAAACAATAAAGAATTTAAATTTTTTAAAAAGTGTTAAAATGATTTTTACCTTATTTTTAATTATAATTCCCATTATAGATGAGGATATAGTGAGAAGTTGCAACCTCACACCTGCTCATGGGAGTGGAACTTGGTTCAATCTTTTTGGAAATCAACTTGAAAGTCTCAAGAGCATTAAAAATATCTGTACTCTTTGACCCAGAATTTCTTCTCCTAAAAACTTTTCCTACAAAATTGGAAAATCAAATACCTAATCACAAAAATGTTTGTTACCACTTTATTTAGACAGTGAAAAAGTATCAAACTATATATTCAACAATAGGAGATTGGTTCAACTATAAGATTTTTATATGTGTTTATTTATTTATTTTTTTATTATTATTAGTTAAGGTATTACAAATGTGTCCTCATCCCCCCCATTAACCCCCAACCTCCGCCCCCCCCCCCCCCCCCCCGCCCCGCGCACACATGCTCCCATTCCCCTGTTGTCCATGTCCATTGGTTTGGCTTATATACATGTATACAAGTCCTTCGGTTGATCTCTTCCCCTTACCCCCGCCCTCCCCTACTTTCCTTCTGGGGATTGATAGTCTGATCGCTGTTTCTCAGTCTTTGGGTCTGTCCCTTTTCATCAGTCTATCTTGTTCTCTATAATCCACAAATGAGTGAGATATATGTGTTTATTTTTGTAAGACAACTTAATGACCTGGGACAATGCTTGTGATATGATATCAGTTTTGTAAGTATATCTGCAGAGAAGAAAACTGGAAAGAAATGCATCAAAAATGAATAGTTATCTCTACTATCTTAATAGTTATCTACTATCTTAATAGTTATCTCTAGTAATTCTTGTCTCTCTTGCACAAGAGACAAGAATTACTAGAACTTTATTTTTCTTCATGTAATTTTATTTTCGTTACAATAAGCATGTATTATTCTTATATAAGGAGAAATAAACATTTTTTTAATATATATTTTATTGATTTTTTACAGAGAGGAAGGGAGAGAGATAGAGAGTTAGAAACATCGATGAGAGAGAAACATCAATCAGCTGCCTCCTGCACACTACCCACTGGGGATGTGCCCGCAACCCAGGTACATGCCCTCGACCGGAATCGAACCTGGGACCCTTCAGTCCGCAGGCTGACGCTCTATCCACCGAGCCAAACCGGTTTTGGCAGAAATAAACATTTTTACTAAAAACAATTACTAAGACAATTATTTATCTCAAGCATCTCACAGTCCAGTTGGAAATGTCACTGGAGCACAATGGGATTCTTCACAAATGTCCACCCGGTGCACGTGAGGGGCCAGCCAATCTTCTGTTTCATTACAGTTTTAGAATGTGTGATGCTAGGACATGAATAAAACATTTCCTCCATATTAGCTCATTTAAATTTTATCAAACCCTTGTGAGGTAGGTGTTATTAGTATTTACATATTATAGTTGAGAATATAAAAAAGCAAACTGGTGACAAAAGCTATGCCTTAAATCCAGGATTTATGATTCCAAATCCAATGCACATACCACTACCCCTCAATCAATGAAAGATTTATTCACAAGCACTTTCTGAAGATCATCTATAATAATAATGGGAACAATAATAATTATAGCATGCCATTATTTGTACATATGTTACACCTGTTACCTACAAATGTCAGAATTGGGATTCAAAACAAATCTGTCTGACTCCTTGTTGGAGTACTCACTCCTTGAATCCTACTCCACTATGCCAACTGTTGGGTCCAAGTCCCTTTGCCAGGGACTGGACCTCCTTGGATGTGGGGCATGAGAAGACATGAGAAGTCGTGGGTATGCAAGAGAGGCTTTATTGCAGTCCAAGTAGCCATTGCTACTACAGAGCCATTAGATAAAGCAATTCTTGCTAATGCAGTAGCAAACACAGGAGCCATCCTAGGAAAACAGCACCGGCTGGTCTGTAACACGTCTTCCCCACAACGTAGCCCCCAGAATAGGAGCTATACAGGAGCCAGCCACATTGGCTGGTTAGTGACATACAGTACTTTATACTAACTTAGACAAGAGCAGCTTCTTGCCAAATAGTGACCTCACTATTTGGGTTATAGAAGGGCATGCCTGTGCAGTGTCTGCATTCTTGCTTTTGCACCTGTGTATGGTACATTAGCCTGAACACCCTGATTAGGATTCCGACGCTCAGAGTGGCCTTGAACATTCAGCATACGCTGACTGACTAGGGTTGCCACACTCCTACACATAATACAGTATACTGCCTTGGCCATGAACTATACTTCGTGTGACATAAAAATGGAATAAGCACCCGGCAGGTGTGGCTCAGTGGTTGAGCATTGACCTATGAACCAGGAGATCACAGTTTGATTCCCAGTCTTGGTTGTGAGCTCCATCCCTAGTAGAGGGCATGCAGGAGACAGCCGATCAATGATTCTCTCTCATCATTGAAGTTTCTATCTCTCTCTCCCTCTCCCTTCCTCTCTGAAATCAATAAAAATATTTTTTAAAAAATGGAATAAGCTCCATCCCTGTCCTCAGGAAGCCTCCGTAAAAGTGTAGAGGTTGCAAAGACCAAATCAAACTGATAATTAGTACTGTGTGGCACTCTGTGATGTAGACAATGGACTAGCGGGAGAAGAAGTGGAAGCAGAAAGGCTGGCTAGAAGAACTTTGCAGTGGTTCAGCTGAGACCTGGTCAGGATTTGAACTAGAGTGGTAGCAATGGGGATGGAGTGGAACCAGATTCAAGAGGTATTTAAGAGGGTCCTGGCCAGGTAGGTAGCTCAGTTGGTTGTATACCAGATACGAAGGACACATATGTAATACGTTAATAAATAAAGAAATTTTAAAAAAAAGAAAATGTATCAGGCAAATTAGTCAAGGTGGACTTGTGGTGGTTTTAGGTAGTTATGGAAGGCTTGTCAACACAGAGATAGTGTATCAGTTAAGACAGATTGGGTTATTCGGTAACAAGCAAGCACAAACCTCAGCAGCTTAAACAACAAGCTTTTCTTTTTCACTGTTGTTACATACCCACTCAGGTTTGGCTGGGTGCTCTGCTTTTTGTCATCCTTATCCAAGGATAAAGATTGACAGAGCAGCTACCAGAGGAAAAGAAAGTATATGACTCATGTGTTGGCTTTTAAAACTTCCACTTTTCCCATTT